TTCAAAATATGACTAATTGACTAGGAATGTACTCAACGAATGTCAAATTTACTATGCAGCAGAGTTTTGAAAAGTCTAAGTTCAATAAACAAGCAAACTATCTTTGGTTTTGATTTTCATAAGTCAGACAAGTATTTTACTCGTGGGAGAGACTATCAGGGTTATCTCTTTATAAAATTGCCTGTTAATACATTTTTAGCAGAGGGTACTTAGGAAAAAATAAAATTCTACTGTGGGATTTTGTATGATCTACTGCTAAATTCTCATAGCCAAAATTATGAGAAATGTTTGCTAGAGAGTTGGGATTATTGATATTTAGATCTTGGGAGTGAAAGGGAAAATTGCTTGTTAGAAAAGAAAAAATATCATTATTGGCCTTCAATGAAGATGCTTATTATCAAAACTAAATAATGGATCATAAAGTAATGTTTGTAGAGAGTTTATTGTTCTTACTGAAGTAACTGAGATACTATTAGCACAAGACTGATAAAAAATCAATCATTTATTACACAAATAAACCTGTAGTTATTTACTTAAAACAATAAACTACACTTTCTATTGGTTTACAGGTGTAATAACTTAGACAAGGTGTTGGAAGAACACAAGAATAGTTTATAAATCATTTGCTTCCAGCTTGGATTATTTATAGGTAAACGATGGAAAGTGCAGCCTATTGATTGAAAAACAAATAAGGGGGGTTAGAATGGGTAGAAAAAAGATTGATTGTTTGATTATTGACTTAATGAACACTGTAATCAATTTTTAAGATTTATTGATTTACTAATTTACGTAAGTCCTCAATGGTTATTAGATATATCTTTTATTGGTCATGTTTTCACAGCTACTTTATTGATCACACTACACACAAGACAACATGGGAGGACTCCAAGTTAAAGAGGCCAGAGGCAATTCCTTTGACTCAGTTTAAGGTAAAATTAACCATAATTTTAAACAGTGTTTCATTAGTGGTCATAGATTTCAACTTAAACAGAAAATGCTCATATTAAATCGGAACTAGGAAAAAATAACCAGCAGCTAATGAGAGCTCACTGTACTGAATGATATTGATTGAATGGAGTGAAGAGCAATTTGGTCTCGAATCATTTGTCAGATTTCAAAATTATTCGCAAGATTTCAAAATCATCAACAAATTTTCATATCTAACAAGCCAACAATGTTTAGTTAGTGAACTTGAAATTCTAAGTAAGATTTCAGACCTAAATTGTACAACACAAAATTCCAATACCACCTGGTTACATTCACTTGGGAATCAAACAATCAAGTTAACACCAAAATACAGCCTTGTGTTGAGGACTCTGGTCAGTAGCAATATTTTACAGATCTAGCGTTAGAGCTGATCTGACTTTAAAGATTGCCACTGATTTCAAAATGGATGTAATATTTGCACCAAACTTAAATTTAAGTTTATTCCCACACTATATTGGTGGGAATATGGTGACTAGAAAACAAGAATAAATTAATTGAATGAAAAGCACTCATTGATACCGTGGGGATTAATAGTGCCAATTTGAAAGATAAATTTTTGTTGTAGAGTTTTTTGGCTTTCCCAACTGCCTAGATGTAGGGAAAGGCCACAAACTGTTATATGCTGCTTAGAATGATCAGAGGGCATAGCTCCATTTTCTGAATATAAACCCACACCCACACATACCACGGTGATAACTGATAGGACACAGACAGGATGCACCTAGCAACATGACATTTTCTGCAATCAGCTGAATCTGGCTGAGATTGATTGTTGGAAATAACAGCAAACATTGCAGATTAATAACCACAAGTGGTAATAATAAGTGATGGTATACTTTCTCAAATCCAATGGGTTATATGATCTACCTGTGACCAGAGGAAACTGGAGGGCTTTGCTTCCTCATTTACCTTGAAATAATTCAATATTGCATTGTGCTGTAATAATATGGAATTGAAAGTATACACACAACTGAGAATCAGTTTGACCCAACACCAACAAATCTGATGATTTTATTTTTGGCACAAATCTGTAAAGCACCTTTGCTTTGGTTGTTTGTTTGTCTGTTATTTAAAAAACTGAATACTTAGTCAGAGGTCATCGGATTGATTACCAAAGATTTAAGGCTGTCATTGGTCACACCAAAAAGGATGATTGTTAAAACTGTCTCAGTCTCAACTCAGTCATTGCAAAAGGATGTGACAAACACAATGTATTCTTCCAGGTGTTAGAATCAAGAATCACTGAGCCAATAATTTCAAAAGAAATTCAATGACTTGTAAGAAATCTAAGTTCTCTGGAAATTTCCCCACTTTTGTTGTTTGGGGTGCTGTACAATAAGCTTTGAAAAGATTCCAATCTTTTACCTTTGTCCCAAGAGCTCCTGTTTCATCCCACACATGTTTCTATAATGCATGGATGAATTTGTCCCTAAGGTGTTAACCAAGTTTGTCATGGGGCACTTGATCAAATACCTTGGAAAAATCAAAATAAATGACATCTACTAATTGTTTCATTTCAAAAGCCCTAGAAAACTGATGAACTACTCGGGTTAATTGAGACATAGCTGATCTGCCTAGCAAAAAGCCATGCTGCTATTGTGTAATATAGGGGAATATGGTACCCAAGACCTCAATATAAACTTGCCTTTCCAGTAAGTTAGAGAACACACCAATAAGTGAAATGTCTCAATACTTAGACGCTAGAGACTTAGAATCAGTCTTTTATAAATAGGGTCGAGATAAGCGTCTTTCCATTTTTCAGGAAAAGCCCCCAGCTCCAAAGACATATCAAATAATCTACATAAAGAAGGTGAAATTTCTTCAGCACACTCTTGTAACAACTTAGGGGAAGGCACAGTGAACTTAGTGGGAAGGCCCAGTGAAGCTTTGTTGATATCAAGTAACTTAAGTTGTTTAAGAATATGGTTAAGGCTTAGTTTTAACTCACACAATTTGTGTTGAACACTTTAGTTAAGTTGGTTAAGGTAATTCAAAGTGCTACCATGATCAGGTGGAGCAAAAGCTGAAAGAAAACAAGCATTGAATAAATTAGCTTGATCAATAGGTCTGGTTGCCTGCATCAATATATTGCAGTCTATAATTAACCTATGGACCCTTGTCAACAAACATGGGGAATTCAAAGGGATTTTTAATTTGCCAGTTCAGCTAAAAGGAGGCAGGGAGCTGAGTAATCCCTGACCTGGTTAGAATCAGATAACTGACCATAATTGTTTCTTTTTGTTTCAGGGAGTGATTATTGGAGTTTTGTTGGCATTTATCGTAGCAATTGCTGAATTGTATTTCATGGCTAGAGTGGAGATTTGATTGAGATGAAAATTAGTTTTCAATATATTTAATAGAGTAATGTTTTCTGTAAATGATGAAAATGGAATAAACATCCAATCTGAAATGTAGTTGCACTCCTGAGCTGAAAGTGATGTTGCAGTGAATACTATTTCCTCCATATTTTGTTGTGACACAAATTTTATATTAAGGATAGCAATAATATTATATTTTGGTGTAAATATGCATGCCAGGTGGGGAGTTAAAGAGAAATTCAGATAGCACACTGGAAGTGGGATATACTAACAAGGACTACACCCCTATAACTCTCCATATTTTGGCTGGGTTACTGAAGAACAGCTGTTTTTGTTTTCTTCAGAACAGTAGGAAACAAAAATCTGGTAAGAAAGTTGTTAGCCAGAGAGTCCTCTGGGGAGCTTTTTGCCAGGCAAAAGAAGCAGTCAGGTATAAATAAATGCTAATTACTAGGTGGGAGGTCACTATAAGAAGAAACAGTTACTGAGATCTTGAGTATGGGCGGACAAACTTGGAGCTTTAAATAACTTTTTGACTGTGTTTAAAAGCTAGCCTCCTTACAAGTAGAAGATTAAAGCCAATCAGGTTTATGATCCAGCCTGCACAGATGCCTCAGAACAACAAAAACCAAAAAGAACAGCTTTGAAACTCTTTACGCAGGCCAAATTGTGTTATCAACTCAGTTTACAACAACAAATTATCTTGTTATGCTCCCCCACCCCGATGCAACGCCTCAGTTTCTTAAGAAATTTACACTCTTCATTAATAAATATAAGCACTCGTTTTGTGCATTCAGTCAACTGGCAATTTTTGAGTGAGGGGGGGGGGGTAGGGGGTGGGGAGTATGCTAAAGGAGAATGGGGCAGAGACTCAAATTAATTTAAACTTGACAAGGCATTTCGTAGTGACGAGGGAAAAAGTGGTAAAGATATGGAAATGACTCAAACAGAGGTTGAAAAACTGTCTTTTCAATAAGTCCTCGTAGAGGACATTATTCTCTTTGTTTTCTGTGCTCTGCAAGGATTCTCGCTCCGTGCGCTCAATATTACGCGCTCCCCTCACGTAGCACAAAAAAAATTATAGTAACACTTGGACGGCTGATCCTAATTTCTATGAATTTTTAATCACTTCTTGAAAGTTTTTCATACACTCCAACCTTTATGCGTAAAAATCAAAACATTACAGTTCTTGATTCTAACCTAAGATAAAGCATAACCTAGAGTCATTCAACAAGTAAACTGGTGACAATTTCCATCGCTTGTTATTATCAATTGATATTCTATGATGTTCGGCAATGTACGAAGCACCAAGAGTGACGTGACAATCAGGACAAATATTCCTTTTGTCAGTGCGCATGACTGAGTCCTTCCCTTGAGTTAATGAACTTGAACTAAGTATTGGTAATAAGAAAACTTAACTTGAGGCAGTTGTTTTTCCACTATAGAGTGAACCGAGTGCTCGTCACCCAGTGGATTTTCAGGTGGCGACAACTCCTTCAGATTAGAAATGAATTTCAAATTCTCCAACGGTAGATTTATAAGTCACTTGGATCCCTTTCGTTCAGATTTATACGCGTGAAAATTATATTTGCTTAACAGGACAAAAGACCAACCACTTCCAGTGCCAAAATGGGAGGATTTAAACGATGTTAAAGTCGGAGATGGTGCCTCAATCTCGTATGGTTCTCTTTTCGGTCCAATTATCAAGAGCTCATATAGGGACGACATTTCAGAAACTGACCGATCAAGGGCGGCGGCTGAGTCTGGAGTCAGTGCTATGCCACGCAGTTTCAGTGTCTGAAGGGTCTTGTGCGTGATACTAAAAACAAGTTTGGTTACTGCTTCAGCACAACAGTCATTCAAGTTAAGGTGAAGGCTGATGAGGTTGTTGATCTGTGGCAGCAAACCAGCGAGCTTCATTACGTCGGCGGACGTCGGTAACGACTTGCTGAAAAGAGGAAATGCTGTGGAATCAAAAAACTTCACCCCACACGTACGGGGAATTGGTAAATATTCAAGAAGTTCACAAGTGCTTTTAGTTACATGACTTAATGAAATGTTTTTTAAATTCTTACAATCCCTAAAAATGGTAACAAGACATTTCACTGTCTGTTCCTTGACAGGTACAGAAATGTTAACAAAACTTAGAAATTTCATACAAAATTCCTTAGTTGACGAACTTGTTGAGTGAGATGGAGTAGAAGTCGTACACATGTCATACAATACTCCAACATGGTCATCACAACACAGATTCAAACGAGTGATGTAAAAAAACGCCTGGCCATTACGGTAATGAAGAATGCAAGTGAAACCACACTTCAAAAATCTCGCAGCACATTTGACAGCATGAAACTTTCTTAAAAATTCCCCAATTTCTCCTGAATTCTCAGTCATCCTGAGGGGAACGTGCAAACAATCGAGAAACTCGATCGACTCGTACATTTCGTTCAATTTAGCAGAATCTAAACTCATGTATCCACCCCAAACCACACCATTAAGAGTAATTCCATTTAAATTTCTCCGTTCGGGTATAATTTCACGAACTGATCCTCCCTGAACAAAGATAATGCCATCAGTGCAGCTGAAATAATGTCTTAGAAATTCAGTTTTGGATTGAACTTGACCAAATAAATTATTAACTAAAGTAATAAAACACTGGCGCTTCCATGTAATGTCACACAGTATGGTTTTTGACAAATCCAGTTCTGGGTCAGAAATTCTAATCGATTTCAAATGTTCAAAAACTTTCACTGCTCCATCATCAGACAAACCGCAAACAAATTGAAAAACATTTTCTAAGGATCTGCAGTCGTCCAAAGTACGGGTGCGGTCATTAATTTCACTGAGATTTCCTTCAGGGACACATCTGTAGGTAATAAACCACGCTGCTAAGAACTCTTGTATGCTCTTGTGAATAAACGATACCATCCCTGCTGGTCGAAGATTCTCTGAGTACTCGCTGACTTGAAGTAAGCCTATAATCCGACTTTCTTCGCAAATCCGGATGGCATGGGACAGTTGATCATACTCAAATACATGATCGTCCTTTATAAGAAATTCTAACGCCACCTTTCCAATTTCAGCCAGAATCTCTTTGAAATCTTCAACTTTGCGAAAGTTAGCAGGAGAACATTTCGATTCATTATGATCCAAAACGTACTGGACAATTGCAACGTACAATTTTGTTTTGGAGTCAGGAAAGCTCTGTGGGCTTCCTTCTTTCCACAAAGTGCAAAAGAACAGGAGAAGTAGCGGAACTTTCGCCAGATCGTATACGTTTCGCTTGAAAAGATGACCCTGTAATGCGTTGGCTTGTGTTTCGTCACCAAGCATTCTGACCATAAAGGAGTATATGTCCTCTTTACTGAACCCAGTGATCTCAGCATGCACGTCCTTAAACTCTTTCAGCTCATCCGCTTTGGAAATTCGAGTTGTTATCAGAACATAACAGTTTCTCAGCTTGTTTCCTTTAAATATTTCAAAGATTTCAGAGTTACTTCCAAAACGATATTCGTCGTATCCATCAAAAACGAGAAGAACTTAGTCTTGGTTGTGGGTGATGTAACTCAGCAGACCGTCCTTCATGGCTGAGTCTTCATCGGCAAAAATATGGGAGGCGCTTATGATATCTCTGAGGTTTTGGTATTTAGATACCTTTTTGAGATCAATAATAACAGCTAGCTCGAACTTCTTCAGGATAGCTCTCTGTTCATCTGTCAACCTGTTTTCGTCAAGTTCAGCCCAGTCCATAGCCAGTTTCTTCACAAACGTGCTCTTCCCAATTCCAGTCTCCCCTTGCACGAGGATCCTGTTTGAAGGCAATCCGTTCTTTTTTTCAGTGAGCACATCAGTGTAGTGATTCAGTCCAGCCCGTGATGACCCAGCTGGGGTTTGTTCTTCTTTCACCAAGGACAGTCGAGTGTAGATCTCGTGAATATTCACGGCACATTTTTTGGACCACACAGAGGTTGGCACCGTGGCGGTTCTTTTGTAATGCTCTGCAAGTTTACGCCGGCAGACATTCACATCAAAATAATTTTTGGGTATGTCTGGTATGTCTGTTCAAGAAAACAAAATCCCGATAAAACACAATTATTAAAATGAGGAATGTTTACTCATGATACACTTCAATGGCATGTACAATTTAAGACTAACTGTCAACAGCTGGGTCTCAGGCTTAAGGTATGACGTTAGAGCTGTTAATGGACAGTTGAACAACCTATTACCATACCCCCCGACCCACCCATCATTTTTTCACTAATAATAAAATATTTAAACTGAGCTTAATTTTGGTGTCTGCATGCGTCCATTTGGTGGAGGTGTCCTTTTACAGCAGGTTTGCTTTACAGTAAATATGGGGTAACGAAACCAAAACTTTGGTCAGCGTCTGCTTAATACAAAATTCACTGTCATGGAATAAATCAATGCAATTATTTCTAATAAATCAATGTTGTTGAAAATAATTACCATGATTGTAACAAATTTGTTCTGCTAAGTCTTTGCGCTGCACGAGTTTATGCCGTAATGCAGAATTCAAAATTTGATACGTTGCTTCATGACCATTCTCCTGTTTCCAGTCCAGTAAGATGTGGTATCCTCTCTCACTCAGCTCCTCATATCGTTGTTTTATATCCTGTAGTTTTGCCTCCTTGACCCCCAAGCGTCGCCCAAGCTTCATCCACTTTTCAGCAATTTCGTCTCCTAATTCTTCCAATTCCTCATCTGTTGGTGTGCCTTTTTTTGCTAAAGAAAGGAATAAATTCTGTTACTGGGGTCTTATCAACGAGATGAGCAGATCGCATCTTAAGAAACAAACATTTCCAACCAAGTTCGATTGCGCCAATCAGTGTTCAGGACCACCACAAGCAAAGATGACAAATAATTTAGAAATCAAATCCTATTGGTCAGATGTAAGTAACTGTCCCCAGTAATAAGTGACAGCCATAGATAATAAGATAACCTAACACATGACTTAAGCCAGGGGCACATTTGTAGCATCATCTTTGCTACTCACCAAAGCTTTAATGTTTGGATAATAAATTAATCACGTATCCCAAGCCCTGTGCTGCTACCATAACACCAATGAAAAATAATAATACAACAGTATGATATAGTATGATACATAAGTATGACACTGTATATAAACGCACATACATATGCACGCACCACCCATAATCCTCTACTTGACTTCTCTGTAAAAGGACTACACTAGGCAACATGCATCACAAAGGACATCAGGGTTAACTTTTATCTACATGAACTTCACAATGACAATTGCCATTTAACTTAGTTTCCAATAAACACTTCTCATCTCCTGAAATCAAATCTCATACACAAAATTTCTGATAATCTTCAATCTTCTATTCAACAGCATTATAATTAAAAATCTATATAGTACTAGGATTCAATCATAACCAACAAACCTCTTAAGTCCCCAGATGCAACTTGATGTTGTTTAGGATCCTGATTACTGCAGCCAGGGGACATTCTCCTTTCTCCTTTTTCTATGAAAAGGAGGATTTCATCTGTTAAATAATTTCACTTACACCTTGGGACGCAGTAAACTATAAGAAGATCTGGTATATAGAGAGGGAAAATGGGATACAACTATGCAGCAGAGTAGACTAATCTATCAATTTTCTCTCCCTTTAAATTACCTTCAGTTTACATACTTTTTGCATCTGGCTTCTAATTTGGGGGAAAACATCAGCTTGCAAAGTACATGGCTGTTGCACAGTTCAATTCAGAGGAAATTAAGGGCAACATTTTGAAGGTACCGGTGTTAACAAATTCAGTGAAAGTGCAACAAAAGATAGTAGACTTAATCAACTGGAACAAAAACAAAAAGCCAGAACAGTACCACTTCATGTCAGAAAACAACAGGCAATACAATTAATAAATCAAAAGAACAATCAAACCAGAGATGAACGAAGATTTAAGGTAATAATCAGATCAAACAGCTAGCTGTTAAAAGCCATAAAATATTCTGAGGGGGAGAAGAATGTTTTAATAATGAAAACATTGATGTAATGCAGTGAACCAATCATATTTGAGGATTTTAAAGTGCAATGTTAAGGGTTTATCATAAGTGCATTTCTGCATTTACATCAACTTCACTTTGACAAATTGCCATGTAACTTAGTTTCCAATAAACACTTCTCATCTCCTGAAATCAAATCTCATACACAAAATTTCTGATAATCTTCAATCTTCTATTCAACAGCATTATAATTAAACATTTATATAGTATTAGGATTCAGTCATAGCCAACAAACCTGCTAAGACCCCAGATGCAACTTTTGTTTGTTTAGGATCCTGGTTACTGCAGCCAGGGGACATTCTCCTTTTTCTCCTCTTTCCTTTTCCTGCAAAAAAGAGGATTTCATCTGTTAAATAATTTCACTTTCACCTTGAGACACAGTAAACTATAAGGAGATCTGATATATAGAGGGGGAAAATGGGATACAACTATGCTGCAGAGTAGACTAATCTATCAATTTTCTCTCTTCAAATTACCTTCATTAGTTAACATGTTTTTTGCATCTGGCTTCTTATTTGGTGGGTGGAAAATATCAGCTTGCAAAGTACATGGCTGTTGCACAGTTTAATTCAGAGGAAAATAGGGGCAACATTTTGAAGTTGCCAGTATTAACAAATTCAGTGAAAGTGCAACAAAAGATAGTAGACTTAATCAACTACAACAAAAGCAAAAGTAAAAAGGCGGAATAACACCACTTCATGTGAGAAAACAACAGGCAATGCAAAGAATAAATCATGAACATTCAAACCAGAGATGAACAAAGATTTAAGGTAATAATTAGATCAAACAGCTAGCTTTTAAAAGCCTTAAAATATTTTGAGGGGGAGAAAAATGCCAATAGGTAATAACAAAAGCATGGATGTTATGCAGTGAACCAATCATATTTGAGAATTTTAAAAGTGCAATGTTATGGGGTTAATCATGAGTGAATGTCTTTGTCTTAATCAACTTCACATTGACAAATTACCATGATGTAACTTAGTTTTCTATAACTGCACCCTTCTCATCTCCCAAAATTAAATCTCATACACAAAATTTCTGATAATCTTCAATCTTCTGTTCAACAGCATTATAATTAAACATTTATATAGTATTATCAGTCATAGCCAATATGTCTAACAACAAACCTGCTAAGATCCCAGATGCAACTTTTGTTTGTTTAGGATCCTGGTTACTGCAGCCAGGGGACATTCTCCTTTTTCTCCTCTTTCCTTTTCCTGCAAAAAAGAGGATTTCATCTGTTATATAATTTCACTTACACCTTGAGACAAAGTAAACTAAAAGAAGATCTGATATATAGAGGGGGAAAATGGGATACAACTACGTTGCAGAGTAGACTAATCTATCAATTTTCTCTCTTCAAATTACCTTTATTAGTTAACATTTTTTGCATCTGGCTTCTAATTTGGTGGAAAATATCAGCTTGCAAAGTACATTCAGTGAATGTGCAGGTAACAGGCAATACCATTAATAAATCAAAAGGAACATTCAAATCAGAGATAAACAAAGACTTAAGGTAATAATCAGATCAAACAGCTAGCTGTTAAAAGCCATAAAATATTCTGAGGGGGAGAAGAATGCTGTTAGGTAATAATGAAAGCATGAATGTTATGCAGTGAACCAAATGGAAAGGGTTAATCATGAGGTATTTCTTCATGGTCAGGATGTAAAATACAATACTAAATTCATGAAATGTTATTCTGGAGTATTATGTCATAAAATACACTGGTGTAAGCATGGTTATAAGTTAACAGTTTCAGGCACTGTCTCCACATTCTCATATTTAGGAGCAACTTACCTAATGACATGGAAACACTGCTTGAGGCAGTTTGGACTACACGTAATGGCAAAGGTCTGGGCGAAGGAAAATTTGAATAACAAGGCTAGAAACAAAAGAAACAGATGCATTGTCAGAAGAACTCTTTTACTTGAACCTGGTTAACTCAAACCCCCACTAACTTAAACACACAATTTCCCTTGCATTTGACCCCACTTTTCCAGTCATATACTAACAGCTAACTGAAACTCACTTAACTCAAACTAACTCAAACTAATTTGACTTTCCCTTTTCTCAAATTCACCCTAATAACTCAAACTTTGAGAAAAAATGTTGATTGATTATAATGTCAAATTGTCAGAACATAGCTGAACATGATGACATTCATGAAAATGAAATACGTATAGCTTGACTAAACATGACTTGTAAAAAAACTCTACTAAAACAGTCTAAATGTATGAAAATGACTATTGATTGTGCAGGAAAGGTAAAAACATTATTTCTTAAATGAATTATTAACAGGACACAAACCACATTTAACTTCTACAGTTTTTTTGCTTCCCTTGGGAGTTTGAGTTAGTGGTGTTGCACTGTACATCAGCATCACAGAATAATTCAAATGTGTGTTAACATATTTTACAGATACATTTCATTTATGCATTTCAAATTCCTCTTCCCTTAGGTGCACTGTCTCAAGAGCTAGATCTACCAAAGCTATTGATAATTGATGGTCAGTGGACTCGATCAGTTCAATACGCCAGTCATGTGAGTGATTTAATTCTGATAAGCATGCAATGCCAATGAAGTGTGAATTATAAAACAGATAAATAAGTAAATACTACCCAGTAAATACTAATGGAATGTAATTAGAGGAGAACTCTGAAAAGGAAAAGAAATAACCCCACAAAAACTGCCAAAAGACAAGCAGAAATGAAAACCACAATCAAACTCAGAAGATCAAACCAAGACCAAACTGAAGGCAAATGTGGAAAATAACCAACAAGTTTAAAGAAAGAAAGGAAGTTATTCAAAGAGCAAATAAATAAGAGGAAACAAAGAGTAAATAGACTACTGTGGTTTTTCACTGAACTTCATGGAAGAAGTGATTTCGATTTGTCTCAGACTCAGATTAAAAACAGCCAGAGTGTAAGGTGGGATGTTGTTAAAATTACTCATTCTGTAAAACTACTG